TAAAGGACGATATATTATAAAAGTTAGGCTAGTCATGGCAGGTATAGAACATTTTTCTGACTAACTCACACAGTTGCTGAAAGAAGTTTGACAGCATTCATCGCATTTTCGAAAAACCAGTTTTTATTTGTATTAGTTGGTGAACGACGGTGTTTCTGATGCTGAGAGAATTTAAACAGGCGTCAGTTCTTTTGTACGACGTGCCATAAGATTTTGGTATTCCTGTATTATTGAGTATTATCGGGTTGTATATTCCAACTCACTTTTGTCATTTTTTCTATTGTTTATATTTTATCGACTAGTCTGAATCCGATACATAGACAAATGGACGAGACATTATGAGGTTCAGCGACATTTTGGACTAGTCAAGACGTGGTTTGCATGACTCTTCTTGTGACGATGATCAGGGATGGAAAATACTGAGGACTCTTCAGACAGGAGCTGACACGTATTGTTGACATTATGTACTTTTTATTATCCATCTTCATTAGTTTTTAGCCCCCTTGGGTATTTACCAAAGTAACTGATAGTATGTACTATTTTGGTTTCTTGGTACAGCTGCTCATCGGTGCTGATAAGGGTGGGTGGGTGTGGGTGGCTGGGTGTAGGTGTGAGGGTGTGGGTATTTGTTCCGTTTCGACAATTTGCTCACTTTTACACCCACACCCACACCCACACCCATTTTCTATCAAAATGAAAAATTACTTTCACAATATTGAATTAGTTCTGTCAAGTATACGGATTGACAAGCGTTTGGAAGATATGTTGATGGTATGAATTATGGAATAATCGATGTTCGTTCAATATGCTACTCTCTGCTTTTTAGTTGCAGCAATGCTAGATCATTCAGCAAGTTTTTATATGACTCGTGTCAAATTATTTTGAAACATTTGTATATAAATCAGTTTTACTTTTAACCATGACCACTAAGCAAATATTCGAATCTTATGGATTTTATTGATTTCTTCATGATTCATTGATCGATGTTCGTTGCTACAAAACATTAAAGTAACAAACACATTCTATGCCTGTTTGTTTTTAATTAAATAAAGAGCTTTTTGTCTGAGTCTTTGTTGAAATAAAATGAATACTTTGAATCTAATCTTGAGAAATTTGATGACAAGAACCGTATTGAATACACAATTAATAATTCCTCTAACTTTCAATTATTTATCAATCAATCGAATAATCCGTGAGCTACTATCTTAAATTCTCCTATTACTTCAATGTCTACTATGCCTTCTTACTCAAACAAAACTGAGCGTGGATGTATTTCTGGCCTTTATTCATACCTACACCCACATCCGATATGAGACTATATCTACCAGTATTCGCTCATATTATACACGTTTTAAATTTCAAAAAGGGTACCCAATAAAATACAAAGTAATATTAAATACAAGTTAAGTAAAAAAAAATTTTCCCCTAATTTATTGAAAAGCATTCTAAGTAAACAAAACATTTCTGTTAAGTTTTAATTCCACAAAAATCAAACTAATAATATTTAATATTATGTAATTGAATTTTATTTACTATATAGCTTTTTATATTCTAAAAGTTTTTTCATGTAAAATACAAGACAAACGAATAAGTACTATGTACAGATCAGAAAATAATAATTGTTAACTAGTTTTTCATCATTTGTAAACATAAAATTTTAAAAGAAAAGTTTATTCTAATTACTACTCAATGTAACAATATGAAATAATTTTATTCAAATGAAAATGAAATCAGTAAAAATTCATTTTCTAGAAGAGAACATAGTATAAAACTTTCTGTAGCTGATCTTACACGTTTTTTTAAACGCTGATCATTACTACTCATAGCATAATTTTTGAGAAAAATACCATGTTTGTATTCTGGACCTTAAATATCAAATAGAGATTGTATAATTGCATATATGAGAAGTCTAGTAGTAAAATGAGTTGCAATTTAATAGAAAATTATTCTAATAGCACTTTTAATCCTTGCTATCATTTATAAATGTATCTTTTCATGTATTATGCTTCTATTTACATGATTTCTTTCTTTCTCAAACAAACTAATATATGTCATTCTTTAATTTCTGTTAGATGTTTAACCTTAAGACAGACAATTTTACAACAGTTAATAGCAAAAAAAAATTAACTTACTCAATAATTTAAAATATCCTAATTAGATATACGAAATACAGTTATCTGAAATCCATATAATTTTCATCATATCTTTGTTTTTTTTGCACATTGAATAAAAAGATATATTGAATTTTGAGAAACGTACATAATTAATCTAAATAAAAATATGAAACATCTAAGAATTTTATCGATGAAAACGGATGGTGACCTCATTAACATTTTCAATTACACTATCGATTGAATTAATAATGTTTCTAAAACATCAGTAGTAGAGTAATAATCATAAGTAGATATGTGTGGAAACAAATTTTTTTCGACATGATCTCGATAATCTAGCGATTTTGTTGAATTCGATGGGGTTCGACTTGCCTCAACTTCCTTTCAATCCCTTTGATGTAGAAGAAAAAATCTATTCGAAAAGTTATTTTAATTATGTGTAATATCACCTTCAGGAAGGAGTTACTTTTTGAGATAAAAGAAAATTTTTCGAATATTGTATAGAGCGTATACTTATGGCACAAGCAAAAAAAAAGAAATAGGCGAATGCGAGAGTAACGTTGACACGTGTTTATCGTTCTCTAAAAGATAAGAAAACTATCACAAGAGACACTTATCAGTGAATTATGAGTTGATGCAGGATTATCAAGGGTGAGGGGTGTGGGTGTGGGTGTGGGTGTGGGTGTGGGTGCGGGTATGGGTGTATGGGTGTGAGTGGATGGTGTGTGGGTGAGTGTGGCTGTGGGTGTGGATGTGCATGTGTGTGAGTGTGGGTGTAGATGTGTATGCGGATGTGGGTGTAGGTGTGGGTGGGTGTGAGCGTGGATGTATGGGTTTGAGTGGATAGTGTGTGCGTGGGTGTAAGCGTGTTGTGCTGTGGCCTAAGTGTAGGAATGAGTGGGTGCGGCGTAAGGAAAAGTTACTTCTATACACAAACACGCACCCATACCCCACTTCCTGTGTGGGTAAGTGTGGGCATGAGGGTGAGTATCAGTGTGGATGTGGGCATAATCAGCGGAAAAACTTACGCCCACGTCCGCATCGCTCGGTTGGATTTCCAAAAAGTTTTTTTAATTTTATACACTTTTCAAAAGGTTCAGAACCGATAGTGTACTTAATACACTATCCGGCACGAACAGCATCATTTTTGGTGTAAGTCTGTCGACGAACTATTTCTTTAAAACACGAAATCACTACTCATTGTTTTAGCTTTGTCTCTACACACAAATATCTGTTGAAGGCTTATTAATGATGGGCAGAGATTCGGACGAAACGTGATCGACATATTATTATGGATTTCGTTGTGTCTTGTTGCCGTTTTTATCTATTAATCTACATTCTGTGAAATATGGCACAAATAAATTGACAAGTTATTTTTCTATCCTCTCTTCCTTGCCATTGTTATTCTTCTACTATATAAGGTCTCCCTAGACTGATAGTTTACGATAATAATACCCTTACTTTCTATTGTTTTCTCTTTCTTGTTGCTGTTTTATTTTTATCATTCTATTTACTAGTGCTTAATTTTTTCTTATCGACCAATGTAAACATCACTTTATAAGGACAATGAAAGTCAATATAATAAAAATGTATATACGAAAGTTGGAAAGAATAACGATAAGATAAGTGAAATGGTTGCACTTATCTCTTTTTTCAACTGAAGCTAAGGAGAATTTATCATCGAGTGTCAACGAAAAAAAAACCCACATTTCATGTCGCAGAAAATCTAGAAAACAAAAACAACAGGTACTGACTGTATAAATAGAAAAGGTAACCTGCATATCGACAATCAGCAGTTATTTATTATTTTGAATCAGTAAGCAATATTTTACATACAACATGGGTGGACAACAGTCCAAGAAAAAGATTTCCAAATCAGCAACGGGTGCTGCTTCAACTGCAACATCCTCAGGTGTTAGCAGCCAACCAAACCTAGGCCGGCTCCAAAATTATTTACTGATATGGGTCGATGGTAACATCGACGAACAAAATGAAGACTGCGCAAACACGCTGGCAAAATTGCGCAGTGTCGTCAGCGAAGTCAATCTGTGTAGGACGCCAGCGCAATGTATTCAATTTTTGAACGATATGGATAACGAAAAAGCGTTCATTATCTCATCTGGAGATTTAGGACAGCACCTCATACCGCAGATTCATGATTTGTCACAAGTGGATGCAATTTATATCTTTTGTGATAATAAAACAAAACATGAAGCATGGACAAAAGAATGGGCAAAGATTGAAGGTGTTTTCACCTCAATCAAGCCCATATGTGAATCGTTAAAGAAGGTCACCCGTGAATGTGACCACGATACAATTCCCATGAGCTTCGTTCCAAAGCGAACGACAGCAGCAACATCAAGTCAAGAAAATCTGGATCAATTAGAACCATCTTTCATGTACTCAGTATTATTCAAAGAAATTATATTAGAAATCAATGAAGACGACATAAAGCCGCTGAACGATCTAGTCGTTTACTGTCGAAAAAAAGGTGTATCGGAAAAAGAATTAAAGGAATTTCACAGTACATACCACCAGAAAACGCCAGTCTGGTGGTATACATGCGAAATGTTTCTATATGGCATGCTGAATTATGCCCTACGAACACTGGACATGGAAACCATGACAAAAATGGGTTTTTTCATCCGAAACCTTCATCATCAGCTGGAACAACTGCACAAAGAACAAGCAAAGACTTTTATGGAACAATTTATTGTTTATCGTGGTCAGGGGCTCATTGAACAAGATTTTCAACATCTAATGGACACGAAAGGTGGACTGGTCTCATTTAACAATTTTTTGTCAACTAGTACAAAACAACAGATCGCTAGGGGATTCGTAGAACGTACAATGCAGAAAAATAAAGATATCGTGGGTGTTCTTTTCATCATGACAATTGATCCAAATACAATATCGGCGACGACTACTCCATTTGCACTTATCGACGAATACAGTGCTATTGAAACTGAAAAAGAAATCCTACTTTCAATGCATACTGTTTTTCGTGTCGACGACATCAAACAATCAGTTAGCAATAGTCGTCTGTGGGAAGTTCAATTGAGTCTCACCGGCGACAATGATCCACAATTAGCTGCTCTTACTAATCGCATACGAGAGGAAGTCGATGGCACTGGATGGTATCGAATGGGTAAACTGATGATTCAGGTGGGTCACTACAATCAAGCTGAAGAACTCTACAATGAATTACTCAAGAACGCTTCCAGTGACAGTGATAAAGCATTTATCTACCACCAGCTTGGATTCTTAAAAGACAATAAAGGACAATATCAAGAAGCAGTTGCATTTTATGACAAATCAGTGGAGATCGAGAGAAAAAGTCTTCCGGAAGATCATTTTTCATTGGCCCCTACCTACACTGGAATTGGTCTTGCGTATAACAACATGGGTGACTACTCTAAAGCACTTGAATTTCACGAAAAATCACTTAAAATTAAAGAAAAAGCTCTGCCTCCAAATCATCCCGATTTGGCTACTTCCTACAACAACATCGGTGGAGTGTATAAGGACATGGGTGACTACTCGAAAGCACTTGAATTTTACGAAAAATCACATAAAATAAGGGAAAAAGCTCTGCCTTCGAATCACCCTCATTTAGCTACTTCCTACAACAACATTGGCGGAGTGTATAAAAACATGGGTGAATACTCGAAAGCACTTGAATTTTACGAAAAAGCACTTAAAATCGACGAAAAAGCTCTGCCTTCGAATCACCCTCATTTGGCTACTTCCTACAACAACATCGGTCTCGTGTATAACAACATGGGTGACTACTCGAAAGCACTTGAATTTTACGAGAAATCACTTAAAATAAGAGAAAAAGCTCTGCCTCCGAATCATCCCGATTTGGCTCAGTCCTACAACAACATCGGTCTCGTGTATAACAACATGGGTGACTACTCGAAAGCACTTGAATTTTACGAAAAAGATCTCGAAATCACAAAAAAAGCTCTGCCTCCGAATCATCCCTCATTGGCTACTTCCTACAACAACATCGGTTTGGCTTATTATGGCAAAGGAGACTACTTAAAAGCACTCTCATTCTTAGAAAAGGCACTTGTTATCCGTCAAAAATCACTTCCGCCAACACATCCTCTAATTAAAGAAACGAAAGATAACATTGACTATGTAAAAAAGAAAATGTAGCTGTAATTTTTTCTTTTCACTTGCTCAATAAATTTATTCATATTGCTAATCGTTTCGATTTTTCTCGGCTCATTTTGGCTTACCCGCGCGCGCGCGACAAGGAAGAGATCCCTTGTCAATGCCATAGGTATCATAGGCGGACCACGCCGGACTGGTAGGGCAATGGCCGAAGGTATGCCGTATTAACACGGTAGAGACCAACGACACATAGAGGCCTTCCCTAGTACTACACTGCTTCGTTATGGCACGAAAGTTCCTGTCCCTATTGAATCAGAAAACGTAGTTCTCTGACCCACACTAATAACATTTGTAACTCATCTCATCTCAAAAGTACTCATACTCATACTCATAATAACTGACAATATTTATTTTTTCTCGAAATAAATTATCTCAACTCAACTCAACATATAAAAAAAAAATTTTTTCCTACCTCTCAATGTTGTATTGTATCGTAGTAGATCTAAAAAAAAAGTATTGTTAAATATAAAGACAAATAATTTACCTTATTTAAAATATAATGATATCATTATCATTGTAAATAATATAATAATAATAATAAATAATGTACCCGGGTATATAATTACATTGTAATGCATCATATTGAGAAAACGCGAATGTATTGTTTTATGATGATACATCCATGTTTTTATATACACTATGGTTCATTGTTTAATATTCAACGGTTTTGATTGATTTTTCATCAATCACATCACACACGTGAATTGATGTTTCGTCGTGTGTTTTAATTGATTTGATGAACAATTTTTATGTAATGATACGTGGATGTTTTTTTAATTTTTTTTTCTCATTTGACGGACATAAATGTCATGTCGTCGTCGTCGAAAAAAAAAATTCATCTTATATATATATATATGTAGAGTGTGGGTTGAAGAAAATATTAACATTCACTGCCACACCCACCCCCTTCATCACCATCTTTTGAAATAAAAATCTTCGAATATTTCATCACAAACAACATGAAATCGATCTACTCTGTTTCATAGTTTTTATTTAAGTAAAAAATTAATTCTAAAAAAAAATATGTTGACACGAAAGAAAGTGATTTTCAAGTTGCTGTACTCGATTCATTTGTTCAATTACTTTTAATTCACATTAATTGTAGTATACTAAACACTGATAAAATTTCTTGTATTTCTGATCTATCGCTTATTTTTGAATAGAATTTCTTACGATATTTCTTATTATGTTGTCACCAAGCAAGTAAACATGACTTGCAACGTATGATAAGAAGAAAAGAAAAAAAATATTTTCAAGAAAAATAAATTATTGTTCGAATTCTTTTTTTTTAGTTTTAGCAGTATTAGACTTAGTTGTATATGATATTATTGTTGATAGTATTCAACATGAAGGTGATTAATGGAATTGTATTTCACGACAAATTGTCCATGGACTTCTTATTCATTTACAATTACATGCCACTATGGCATCATCTAAGGTTATTTTTCTTTCTTTGATAATCTTAGATTCCACTTTACTTTTTAGGATCAATTACTTTTGGATATTTATTCTACACCATTAACAAATTTTATTGTTGTATCATTATTTGAATTACGATTAATCGATCCATTTATTGTCACATTTCGAGCATTAGCAAACAGAAAAGTTCGTTTTTTTTTTATTCATGAAATTTTTCTAAAGTTTAAATTGTTTTCTAGAATATCAATCGTCCTTTCCGTTTAGTTTGGTCCATAATTGGATTTATCTACTATGATAGTACCATTTATTTGAATTTAAAATTTCTATGGTTTTATAAGATCTCTAATTTTATTTTAGCTAAACAATTCTTAATGATTTTCGTGAATTTTAAATTCATGATGAAACTAGTTATACATCGTCTTGATACATTTTCATATTAATAATTTTCTTGGCTTTATAGATCGTACATTAGCTGGAAATTATTTACTTATTCAATCAATATAGACTATTAGAAATAATTTATTAAAACCAAATACATTATTATTAACATCGTTAAAATTCTTCGTACACTTATATATATTTGTATTACCGGTAGTCGAATCAATTGTTTGTCTTCATATTGAAAAGATGGTAGGATTTGAAGAACAATCATTAAATTCACAATTAGTACCTAAATATTTACCATTAATTTTACAAATATTATTAACAACGAAAAACAAATAATATACACGAAATATTGATGCACAAATGCTTCAAAATGTAACTTATAGAAGTATATGTAATGAGTATTTTAATCTAACAAAAGAAAAAGTTTACCTTTCTTTGACATTGTTGTGATAAGAAATAAAAACGGCAGAATTCTACATAGTACAAATCGTAAAGAAAAGCATTTCAACTACATTAATACAATAATGAAACTTATCGATAAAATTTTGAATCATGCTATTTGTATTGTTACAGCTAAAAAAATACGATATCTTTTTAATTTTATGAAAAAGAAAATAATCATAAATAGCTTTAAAAACATCTCGTAAGATATTTTCTATTGTGTCATTTATTTGAAACTCAAAATAACGGTTTTAACTTTATGAAACATTCTTCAAAACAAATATTATCAATTGATGACTAGCGATACAACAGGAATATTGATCTCATATTCAGTTTGACATTTTCAATCAGAAGAGATCTTGAAACTAAGTTATTTTCTTGCAATAATGTCTATGACCAAAATATAAATACAAACAACATGTGGAATTTATATTAATTTTCAACAGATGATGCAAATGATTTATTTCGTATTATTATATTTATGCCGAAAATTATTTATATAAATGTATTTCGAAAAAGAATGAGTTCTTTGTTGAAATTGAAATGAAAGGGTTATTTCGAGGTTTGACAAAAAAATACATAATCTAAACATCAATTATATATAAATTACTTACGAGGCAAGATCCTCAACTGATCAATCGCTTTTGCATTGAGACAATGTGCAATATGTAGGTGCAAAGAAACTATGAATATCTTGAAGAAAGTTCGGACTGATAGCTTGCTTGTACGAAGATATTGCATTTTTACGGTACGTTTTTAAATGAATGTCGTGTTCCCTCTCAGGAGTATCAGAAAAAGTGATTTTCGAATTTCGACTTGGAACTTTATGTAGAAACAGAACTTATCGAAAATAGTATTCTAGAAATATTTCAGATCTTTCGATTAGTTCCTCTCTTGAAAGGCGAGCATCAAATCTTCTGGTTTATTCGAATGAAGTTATCATATCTGTAAGTATGAATAGCAACAGCAAACAAGTCTGAAGGGTGGGTGTGTGTGAGTATTCTATTGTCTAGCCACACCCACATCCTATTTTTTATGTA